CAGGAAGAAAGAAAACCAGAAACATGCTGCAATTTTCAACAAGTTAGGTTGATCTTGGATTTTTACTAGACTTACTGCAGCCTCATTTGAAAGGATTGAGTGCCAAGCCGAAGCAAGGAAGCGTGATTGTCATGCCATTGATCAATAGATCAGCCATCTTGCCGAGAACTATCTGCAGGTCTTAGGCTTATTTAGACGTGGGCAGCTCCGTCTTAAATCCCATTGGCAGCCACTGTATGGAATTGTATGGAGCTAGAGTCGGTCGCTCTAATTTATCTTCCGATCATAAGTTCCAACTACATCTGACTTTAAACTACTTCATTTCCTTATAGGAAAGGGACGAAACTTTTTAAAATTTAATAACTACTCTATATCTGAACCTACACATCCCAGTCGATTGTGCCCCCTCAAGTAGGGGAAAGTCTTCCTTTCGTTCTGGAAAGTGCAGATGGTCCGCAATAGCCTCTCTAGGAAATTCGTTTTCGCACGATGGAGAGGGAAGTGGAGAGAGAACGAGCTGACCATGTCCAGTCCTATAATGCGGCCTCTTCAACGACGGGAGGATGAAGAAAGTGGGATGGAAGATGGGAGGGGAGTGCGACTTGAAGTGCTGCTGGACGAGGGGTTGCTCGGTGGCTGCAGGGTTGCTATGAGCGATCTCGTTTTCCGAGATCAAAAAATTTATCCGGCAGCTTACCGAGGGTGGAAGGGAGGTGGTAGCGTCCCTTATTGAAATCGCAGCCGATCCAGGCTAAGAATGCTCGTTGAGGTCGAGATTCAGAGAGGCTGACGGTTTCTCGTGTCTTTCCCGCTCCACGATTCCCTCGCGTCTCGGAGGCGACGGCTGCCGACATAAATAATGCGACGACACATTACGCCGAGACACGTAATTAAGCATGAAGGTGATGGGGCCGCAATGAAGAATGGAAGACCGAATCGATCCGGAGACCCGGTGTAATAAATTAATCCGGGAATTACGCTCGATCCCAGAAATAGTTGCGCCACCGCATGCACGCAGTGATTCGTTCCCAGAAGTTTTCAATGATTTAAGTACCGATATCGGTACATCGATTAAAAATCGACATCGGTTTGCCTACGAGTCGAATCTGAAAGTTTTGGGATCGTCGAACTTGGCAATCTCGAACGAGGAAATGCCAGGTTCGACTAATCCAAGGATAGATGATTAAAGATCACGAGAAGAATAAAATCACATTTTAAGGCATGCTGTTTTATTTAATTATTGGCAATTTTAGCCGTTCGAAAACGGACTCGTCTCTCGAGAGGCATTCTCGCGCTTCCTTTCCAAAGGAATACTACCGAGAAAGCAAGTTTTGGCAGTTTGATGCCGAAATGCAATTTATATTTCATTCAAACTATTTTATTCAAACTATTTCCTTGCGCACCATAGCAATTTTTTTTTACTCGATAAAGAGAGCGACCCAAAGCAGTCACGCATGATGCCATGCCATGCGATGCCCCTCTCGCGTGATACGTTACCGATACATGGCATGGCATTTATCAATTTCCCCCAACTTTACAAGCTTGCCCACTCCCCTCTTTAAGTGGTGACCGCGGAACGACAGGCCTTCGTGGAATCTTGCGAGACCGACGACCCCTTCTGGCCCGGAAGATAATGGGAAGCATGCCATGTGTGTGTGTAATATATCTCTGCGTAACTGTGAGGAGCCCGTTCCCCTTTGGATGGTCCTCTTCGACTTTTCATCAGATTAGGATGACGTCCGGGGATGGCCTTTCACCTTCTCTCGGTGATCCTTTCCATGTCTGCTTCGGGAGTTCCGGGAAGAAAAGAGGAAAAAGGGGGGGAGGGGGGACTTCTTTTAGCCTCTTCCATCATCTCTTCGGGATCCTGTTCACGGAGATTGCATGCATAAGTAACCTCTCTGAGTCGGCGTTTCTGCTAAACAAAAAAAAATTAGACCTGGGAGTATCGAACATCATTCATGACGGATGATAAAAATGCGTTCTTCGCCTCTCAGTTCTCGCGATTCTGACGCATTTCAAGTCTCTCGTTCTTCCCACGATCCCGAGGGGAGTGAAGTACTTCGCAATTGCAGGGGTGAGGGAATGACGTCGTTTGAGCATTCCCAGAAGGGGGGAGAACTGGAACGAGAGCGATGAAAACATTTATGAGGCGACTGTTCAATGTCAATTAGGCTTGGAATCTATCTGAATTAAACCGATCCCTGAAATTGATTCGAATCGATTCAATTATCAGCGATTTGTTTCGATTGCGTGTCATCGAGGGAAAATGTGCTTATTCACTAACTAGACGTTTTGATCATCGAACAGGTACGTTCGAAAGGGGACGTTGACGTTCTTCGGGGTGGAAGAGAGCAACGAGTCGGAATTGCGGGAGAGATGGAACGATCGACGGAAACGCCTCGCCAGCAAATGCTACGGGGAGCTCAAGGAGGAATTTCAAACTCCCCCGGCACGGGTCTGTCTCCCCTTTTTTCTGTCTCGGGTGCATTCGGTTGCGACCTGGATCGTGACCTGGGTCGTGAGTCATGCCGGAGTTAAAGGTTTGGGCAGGGTCTATAGATAGAGTGAGCTATTTAGATCCTGTATAAAACAAGAGTGCCTGGAGGCATTTTACACCAACTCGAGAACCCGAGTCGAGGTCACCGACGTGGGCATTACGACTGTCAATACTTCAGTGGCCTACCCAAACCTCGAATCGCGACCCTGGTCACAACTGAATGCACCCAATGCAAAGATTTTACCCAATACAAAGAATGCACCCAATACAAAGAATGCACCCAATGCAAAGATTGTACCCAATACAAAGAATGCACCCAATGCAAGAAAGAACCAGCGGAGACACAGCGTGGCTCACCTGGGCGACAGTGCTCCAAGCGGTTATGTAACTCGTCCGCGAAGGTGGCCTGACCTTCAGTTGTGTCCGTCAGCTTTTTCACCGTCATGATGGAGAAAATCGTACTAATTTGTATTCATCCAGGAGTTTTATCGAGTATCGGCATGCTAGTTGAGCAAATACAGCGTGAGCTCTTCCGATTTGGCTATTCCTTAGACCAGACTGAAGCTGAACCGAGTCTTCTCGTGGAACCGAATTTCTCCGTCCCTGCAAAATTAAAATCACCTGCATTGCACAGAGCTTAACCTGTTGATAGGGAAATCATGGTTAATAGGAAGAAAAGGTTGGGCAACGAGATGGTATAAAGGTAAAGATTCACTGGAAATGGACCCTGTTCGCATTTTGGGATGGATGTAAAGCAGCTTCCTTGACCACGTCAGATTTGATCCTTTCCTCTTGTCGGACTGCGGCACCTTCCTGTAAATCTTGGTGAAAACCTCCTTCGATCCTGTACTAAAAATACAGATTGAGGTGAGCCGCTAATAAATAAAGATAGAGGTTGGGCGTGAGCCGACGAGGATGCAACGCCGTAATGAATTCCGAGTTGCTGAGCCACTTGATGAATCGTTGAGTCACTTGAACGCCAGGTGCAAGGTGACATTCCGCCTCTGTCGGTGCAGTGGTTCTTCCTTGTGTGGCTGGGTGGGTCCTTTCTGTCTCACTTTGCATGCATTTTGGCGTTCTTCCTATTTTTATTTCGGGCGGCCGCTGCGTTTCATGGCTGAAAAGAATTTTGACAACTTTTCTTTTAAAATTTTGGGTGCTAAGACGTAGTGACAATAATAATTATAAGTAAGCAATAAAGTTTTCTTCATTTAGTATTTATTAAGTTTCCCGAGTTTGAAAACGACTGAGTTTGTAAGAAGTTACGACAATCACCAAGTGGTAATAAAAGGAAAAGCTAATTGACGCTTTTGCTGACAACAGGACCGACTTACGGTTAATGGAGGACGACTCTCATCGGAAGAAACGAAGTCGCGGGAAGGGAATGGGGGGAAAATTTCTTGGAAGAGCCTGCTGTTGAGATCGATTCCATGTCCATTGTGCCGAGAAGGAGAGAAAAGAAATCTCTCTCTCTCTCTCTTTTCTCTCTCCCTCTCTCTGCTTCATTTGATCGGATTTCAGGTTCCATTCCCATTTCTTCCTCCTCCCAGTGTTCCCCTCCTCTAGTCTCCTTTCACATACAAGATTGTCCTGGCTCATGAGAGCCTCATTTCCATCGCGAGTTCTTCATTAGTCCCCGTCCTCCTGTGAGGATCCTTTTTCCTTTACTGACGATCATGATCGTCCTAATGATGAGGATCTGTCTGCCTTTCCCAAGTACGCTCCCACGGCTCGATGAGAAAGTAATCAGGGTTTCTTGCTCAACCAAGCTTGTTTCCATCGAGGTCGTATGCCGTGTAATTCCGAACCTGTTTCCATCACCATTTCCTCCCCGTATTGGTGCCACAAATAAGCCCGGTCAATCAAGGGAAAGGAATCGAGGGTTTCCTCCTTTACTCCCTGTTGTGGAAACCATAAATCCACTTCCGCCCCAATACTATTTTCTTTTCCCCCTTAGTGCGTTGGAGGAAGGACACTCCCCCCCATATATAAGACTTGTTACTTTTTTTTTGTTGCCCGTCTGGATGAACGAGGACACTATGTTCCCGAGTCCTTGGTCGGAGTCCAAGTCTGTCTTCCGGATGGAAGGATATTCCACTCGATCAGTGAGTGTGATGATGACGAAAGGGGGAGGCAGACCGATTTCATCCTGTACCGTGAGCATCGAACCTTAAACGGGGAGGACATTCGGCCCTGTTTTTACCCTAGATCAAGGGAAGGAAAGAGGAAAGAAAGGAAGGAGGAAGGAAGACTCTCTCCGCCTCCGCCTCCTCCTCTTATCGATCTCCCCCCCTCAATCCTCCCTTCCCCCTCCTTCTCTCTCTCTCTCCCTCTCTCGCTTTCTCTCTCTCATGAGACACACAGCGTGGTGAAATGCACCATACAACCAGTCCCTCTTTCTTCTGATGACCTTTCAATCCGAAAGAGGGATTTGTAGCAGAGGAGAGAAGGAATGTGGATGGTCCCGTGTTTTTCTCCGGCCCCGTACGGCCTTGGTGCAATGCGGGTTTGCAGCTGAGCCAGGCTGCCGTTCTCCTGATCAATGACAAGCCCCATTCCCTTCACTTCTTTCCCATCCAGTCCTTCTTCAATATACATGTAGTATGTCCTTCTCTTAGCTCCCCTGAATTTCCACTCCACTCTATTCCACTCTAAATTTTTTCCTCCCTCAGATCGGTCTGTTTTGCTCATGCATAATAGAGATTTTGTTCCTTCCTTCCCCCCCCCCCCCCCCCCCCCCCCCCCCCCCTGTCCCGAGAGACCTAGGAATCGCAATAGGGAAGCAGGAATCTCGTTCTATCGAGGATGATATTGGATTTTTTTTGGTTGTAGGGACATCGGACATGGGCACACTCCGGAGATGTCCCAGATGGGCCCGGGACGAGGGATTATCGCAGCCTCAGGGCCTCTGTGGATCGGAGCAAGGATTCCGTCGCCAAACTCACCTTTGATGGCATCGCCTATGTCATCTCCGTGAGTCATCCCATTTTATCTATTCGTCCCTTGCGTTTCGCTCTTGCGTGCTTGGTCAGTTGAGTGCCTCGACCGAGACATGCTCACGGGTCGAGTCCTTGAGCGAGATCAAAAGTCCCTTTTAAAAAATATCCTATTAGTGGGAGCCGGAAACTTTTTAGGATTGGCCTCATTCCGATTTATCAAACCGCTTCTAAGAACTTCTTAACGAACTGATGAGAAATCGTAAAAAAAAAGTCATTCGAAAGGAATTGGGGACGATAATACCGTTTGAATGAACCTGAGGCCTAGTTGCCACGTGTTTGCCTTTAGGACGGTGTCAAGTCGCTTGCTGTGGTTGAATGGGTCAAATCTTCTTGCGCCAATCTACCGATATTAAATGTTATCATCACTGATTGTACTGTGGGGTATCTATCGACTTACAGCATCGCTTGCAACCGACGCATCGCCCAAGTACGACGAAAGAATTTTCGAACGAAGGATGTTATGTTTCCGTCAAGACTGCGTCAATGGTAAAAGTGATTACTCTAAGATTACAACATAATTGTGTATTAGCAATAAAAAAAATATAGGAGAAATATTCTTCTATCTCGTGTACGACAGTCTATGGGAGACATCCATAGATTTGCTTGAATTTGGCGAGATTTGCTCCAGTAACTGCATTATAAGTCATGCCAACTACCTTTGCATTCACACTCATAGTTTCGAGGAAATAGAGGAAGAGTCACAAGTATGAATATGCCTCTGGGTGTTCAGCATAAAATTCTCAGGAGCTATTAAAGCTAGACGATGGCTTTATGTCTGCTTGCTCAGCTTTTAAGAGACCTTTCTGTTTATAGCATTTCATGACCTTTGACTTTCTAAGACCTTGAGTTCTCAAAACATTATTTTAAATTCTCCTAAAGGGCATGTTTATAGAGACTCCAAGTTCCTGGAAGTTGTTCTTGCGATACACCGAATGATCTGACAATGAATTAAGCAACTCTAGGCGTATGGGTGTGAGTTTTTGGATTGAGAAGGATGGCTGAGTCAGAGAGAGATCGGTCTGCGAATCGTTAAATTTTGAAATAATATACTTCAGGAGAGTTTTTTAAGACTACAGAGTGATGAAGAGGAGCCACGAACCATTCCTCAGTGGATTTCATCGAAAAGGAAATCGTAGGACTGGTTTTGGCGATGTCGAATGCCAGTCACGACCAGGAACCCGTAAGTGGCATTAGCAACAATTTAAGATAAGGGAAATGGTCGTGAGAACTGAAAGACCGAGAGGATCTTTCAGTACAGTGTGCTGCCATGACCAGAGAAATTCGCTTGTTGTATTCTCTTAATGAAAACTCATGATGCTACCTCTGCCAGCTGCGAGGGAAAAAAATCAGAAAGTGAGCCTTAATGTGATCGGTGATGAGATGGCAGAGAAAAACTGCGATTGGTTTCATGTAAATTGGGATTCACAGCTCCCAAAAAGATGATGAAAGAATGATGAATCTGATCAAAAAGACTGGTGATTGATGAAAAAAAGAATCGATGGGAATACGGAGTTCGTTTCAAATCTCGAGAATAAAAACGAGAAGAAATATTAGTATGATTTCCGGTTTTGAGAAGAAAAAAATTCCACAGGACATATTTTGAATAATTGGTTTCATTTCCAGATTTTTTCCACGAGAAAATTTTTATTCGTAAGAATTTTTGATAAATGTAGATGGAAGAGCATGAAACATCATGACGGCGGAATCCTATTAGAAAAATTCCCGGAGAAGAAAAATGGAATGAAAAAAGGGAAATGGGATGCGAGGTAAAGATCGGGGGGGGAAGATGGGCCTCGGGCATTCACGGGGATAGAGCATCGCGTGTTGACGGCCCTGGCAGCAAAAGCCTTGAAACTTTCTAAATGGCGAGACTTTTAGAAGAGAGCTACAGCATCTCCAGGCGCTCAGATCTTCCAATAGAAAATTTTCGTCCTTTGTGAAATACGAGGTATATACACATAGGGTGAGTCAAAAGTCACTGGACGACCTTGAACAGCTATAACTCGGCAAGGAAGGCATTAATTTGCAAATGGTTTTTTGAACATGAAAGAGCGTGCGTTAATTGACGAAACGATATGGAAATGTGCATGATATACCAATAAGAAATGGGATGAGCCTGCCCAAAACGAAAACCAACATTTTTTCCAAATTAAAGTGATATTTAGGGTACTTCGGACGCCCTATTCGCGATTATTTTTAAAATTATATTTGCTGCTCCAAATGGTTTTCTTATAACGCCCATGAACTTTCTTTGGAGGAACGTGTCGCCATTGTTAATTTATTCTCTATCTGTGAAGCAAATCTTTCCGAAGTGAAGCGTCATTTTGCGTTGAAGACAGGTGGATAGGCCGGGTCGGGCCTATCCACCTGGCCTCCCAGGTCGCCGGATCTGACTCCACTCGACTTCTGGCTGTGCGGTTTCATTTAAAGACCAGGTATATGCCGAAAATTCGCGCACGATCATTGAACTGAAGCAACGCATCAGTGAGAAGATTGTTGGAGTTGCCTTTCGGTGACGGCTCGTGTGATCGAGCTTGATGATACTCAATATCGTGGCCAGTAACTACAGTCATTTTTAAGCCAAATAAGTTAATGATATTTTTTTCCAACGTTCAATATTTGTTAATTATTGCGCGCTCTTTCCTATGCAAAAACTTTTTTTGGTTGCAAATAATGCCTTCTTTGCTGAGCTATAAATGTTCAAAGTTGTTCAGTGACTTTTGACTCCCTGAATACATTTTTTTTATTATTCTGAAATTTCCTTACCCTCCAGCATTTCCTCCTTGTAGTAATTAAACATCTCAGTCGCAGTAAAATCATTTTTTGGAGCGGTAGACTGCTTCATTTATGCAAAAAGTGACGGAATGGGATTCTGCATCGTTTCACTTTGACTCCCCTGATTATGCACTCCATCTCATAGTCTCAAGGGAAGATTCTGGGGAATTGCAAGTACTGCACCAACTTCTTAAATAACTTCAACTACTCTATTCTTAATACATGAAAAAGAAAAGCTAATATATATGCAAATGAAATGGAGTGGGTGGAGTCACGAGGTCCGTGCAGTCGCCCTTTCCTGTTTTTGAAATAGGTTCATCATTTGACGCATTCTTTATAGCCTTGATTGAAATTTCTCTATCTTTTTTTATCTATCCTTCAGCTGTTTCAAATTTTTCTCTGCCCCTGATCATATCTTTAAATCACTGGAGCCAATGCTTTGCATACGTATTATTATTGTTTTTTTTTTTATTTACAAAGAGCTTTCATATATGATGACTCCATATACTGATTTGATGACTCTATATGCCCTCGTTATCGGAAAGCTCATAGAGCAAGTATTGGAACGAGCTTAGTTTTTCGTATTTCCCCCCCCCCAAATTATAATTACCAATCACAATGATGGTGCCTCCCTATTCGCACGGGGCCCATTTCATCAAGAAACGTGTAAAAATCTCAAGTTGAAAATGCACCAAAACAAGTTTTAGAAACCGCTGGATTTTCAATGTTTCTGTGAAGGGCTTGATGTAGTGCATGCATTTAGTGCTCGTGCTCAAGCCTTGCAAATGGGTCGATCCATTGCAGACACTGTCTCGGGGGAAGAAGCGGCAGGAGCGAGTGGTCCCAAAGTATGCCAGGAGTTACGTGCCGTCGTCGACCGAGGATGACTCCGTGTTTGCGGAGGACTCTCGCTATCCTCCTCCTCCAGCAGCGTATCGCACCGACGGCCTGCAGGATGAAGTATTCTTCGATGTGACGCCGAAGGACGGCAGCGGGATAGACGGCGCCGAAGGAGATGCGACTGCGGCCGGTGATCAGATGAAGGATCTCAAGAAACCTGAGCGTGTACCCTTCGTCAGCCCTCAGGTCGAATTTCTGCAACCTAGGTACGAGGTGATGGTTTCATCTGAAGAATGTGATGGGACTTTCGTAGTTTCATCGAGTCTCGGTCTCATCTGAAGGAGACAGACAATTTCATTTTGCTAAAAACTGGTAGATGACGTCACTCGTGTCGTGTTAAAGCAGGAGGTCTCCTGGCGGTTGGAGAAGAGGGAGTCGTTCTTGGCAAGGGGATGTTGGGGCCATGGGAGGGGATGAAGTGGACTCAGGGGCAAAAGGGATGGCACCGCCGGGGGGGATTGCTCCCCGCATCGGCACGGGGCGCATCCACAGACGACTTCTGGACAACACCAAAGACAACTCCAATCGAAGACAGTACGGCATGGGGGTCATCGGCCGATTCTTCAAGTGCGTCTAGGCAAACCAACTTGGGAATTGGCATTCAACTGACTCATATCTTATGCCGAGTACTGACGTTCATGTTGCCCTTTTTTTCTCTTCTTCTCTTTTGGGTTCGTTTCTGGCACCCATAGTCGTTCATTCCGTCGTTCTGTACGAGACGAGCCACACGTGAAGGAGCAGCTGGACGACATGGACGACTACAGGCCCTACTTCACCTACTGGGTGACCATCGTCCAATTCCTCATCTGCATCATTTCTCTTGCCTGTTACAGGTTTGGACCTGTTGGATTCGAACTCCAACAACAGTCCAGTCTGGTAAATATTTCAATTGTTTTCCTGTCTTGCCATTCATGCTTTCCCCCCCGGTCATTCTTGTTTTCTCCTCATCTTCCAGGTGCTAGTCACAAGTCTCTCCTTACAACAAGTAGATTACTGGGAGCCATCAAATTTCTGGTTGGGTCCTAGAGCTGTAAGATATTCCTTCCTGTTTCAACGTGTGACATTTTTTAAATGAAGTTATACCTGTACAATACCGAGTTGAACATTTTCTAGGCTGATCTCATACACCTTGGAGCCAAATTTGCCCCTTGCATGCGACGGGATGCCCGCATCTACGCTGAGATAGAGAAAACTCGAGCGGAGGAAAGGGAAACTGCTTGCTGCATTCGAAACGACAAGTCTGGCTGTGTTCAGGCCTCCAAGAGAGAATGCTCAGTGAGTTTGTTCCTCGTTTTTGCGCAGCTTATCTCAATGGCTTAAGAAATAGGATCTGCGATGTGATCTCAATTATTGAGATAATGGAATTAATTATTTTAGGGGAAATCATGAATGTAATGAGTGAATGGATGCTTGATAGAATAGGTGTGGTTTCTCTCTTTCTCTCTGATCTGTATCCATCAATATGTCTTTTTCTTGCACCCCACTGGCTCAACACCGGCCCCAGGGCTATGGCGAAGGGCATTGGGTAGGTGATGGGCCCAGCTCTTCTCCACAGGTTCAATCCTTTTTCATTCCTTCCTGATTGCCATGCTCAGATCTTTCAGTCTCTATCTCTCTCACTCACCATATTGGTGAATTGGTCCAGTGCATGCATGAAAACGTTGACAGCCCGACCGTTTGCTTTCGAGACAGCACCTTCTGCATCTTTGAGAGCCTCGTATAGAGTCGTCCACGAAGGACCGGGACTGCATGTTCAGCAATGTTCGGCAAAAGAATGGTTGCATATATATGATGGCTCCCTGCCTGCTAGCTGTCCTGTCTCATATTTATTCTTTTGTCTCCCTTCTCTCTCTCTCGTCCCTGTGGAGTTCCTGGTTTCATCTCCTGTGCCTTACTTCAGTTCCTGTTGACAGAGTATGAATCTGGAAGATATATGCTATGTATGTAGTTAGAATGTGTCTTTGAATTCAAGAGGGTTGATTCCACTAAAGACCATTTGTGTGCTTGTGAAAAGTTTCTGCTGTTTCCTCCAGAATAAAATGAAGTGATAGGGGTGGATTCCTCCCCTTCTTCCTCTTTTCCTTCGCTTTTTTTCTGCATGGATTGAGAGAAACTCTCTCTATTGATTTTTCCCTTTTTTTTTTCTTCCTACTTGGGAAAGAAATACGTCCTCCTCCTACTCCCCTCCTTCCCCCTAATTTTTTTCTTCTCTTTGTCTTATTTTTCTTCTTCCCTGTATTTTTTTTTCTTCATGCCTTGGTCTCCCTCTCTCCCCTCTCTCTCTTTTGTCTAAATTCCTTGCACTGTATGGGAGGCTTCCTCACTGATGAATGACACTTCCCCCTCTCATCCTGTTTCTTACTACTTTTCTCCATCTCATTACATTTCCTTGTATGCATCCCCTTGCATGTTTACACACTCCATCTGATTTCCTCTCTCAGCCTTCTTTCCCGTTCATCTCTGCTTTTCCGCTTTGCAAATAGCAAGTATATAGGTCACCCCAGCACCAGTCCTTGATTTCCAAACCTTGACCTATTCAGGAATTGCTCTATGCAATACAGTTTGGCTTTAATTGCTGCATTTTGGAGGTTGTATGATAATGAAGCAAAAGTAAGCAGGAACAAAGGAAGACTACAGTAGCCGTTCGTTTCTTTGCTCGAGAGTGAATCCACATCCATCTTAGTTCCCTTTTCATTGGAAGAGGAGGATCACTCAACAACAGAGTCTTTCTTATTTTTCATTCTTTCCTATGCTGTCACCCCTTTCTGTTTGGCTGTGGATCATCCATCATGTGCATGTACTGTTGTGTCCTACTTGAGTCATGAAGGATTCCTTGTACTGACTGACTCTTCTATACAGGGGACATTGTCAACATGGAAGAAGTGGGGTCCATCTCAGTCTGGACCTGGTGGTCGGATCTCTGGATCTGTCTGTGGACAGGATCCTAGGTACTGTTTACTGAGAATCCTTCCCATATCTCTAATATAAATCAGGCACACCTCTACTCTATTACCAATTCTTCCAATTGTGCTACTAGCCTCTAAAGTGAATCCCATCATTTAAAGTTTTTTTTGTAGTCTCGAGAATCATGTTCATGCAACCAATTTATATTTTGGCACAGTTGTCAAAAAGTTAATTCTAAATTCATGAAGCATAGGAAATTATAATTTCCTCTTACTCTATACTTATAGCAGATGGACTTCCTGTTTCTGCATATTTCCAATATAAAATATACAAGAAAGAAATCAATTTTAACAAAGTCTCTCTGTGAAGTTGCATGATTAGTACTCTTTTGTCGCACCTTATAAAAATTGGGTTTTCTGGAATAATGTTTATGCAGTTACTGCAAGGAGCCAGCCTCAATTGCCCCATATGAATGGCCAGATGATATCACACGCTGGCCAATATGCAAGCATCCCTTGGACATTGGTGTGAATCTGTCTGGTCGGCATGTGAATCTCGGCTCTTCGGGGAATGCAGCTGAACACATGGTGTGCGAGGTCATCGGACATCCCTGTTGCATTGGGATCCATGGGGAATGCAGCATAACCACCAGGGAGTATTGTGAATTTGTGCATGGTTTCTTCCATGAAAAGGCTGCCCTTTGCTCACAGGTCACTTCAGTTGTTTTTATTTTCCTTTCACATTCCTTAAGAACCTAAATTCCTTCTTGTCTTTTACCTTTTGGTATTTGCACATCCAACAGGTCTCGTGTCTAGATGATGTCTGTGGTATGATTCCATTCCATAATCCAGAGATTCCGGATCAGTTTTACAGACTCTGGACTTCTATCTTCCTTCATGCAGGGTCAGTCACTTGGTGTTTCAATGCAGAGATTTTGTCACGGTCTAAGATAGTGGTTCTCAACCTTTCTTTTACTCCCATTGAACCTTCATGCATTCGGGGGGGTGACACCTCCCAGGTTGAGAACCACTGGTCTAAGAGCTTGGGGTAGGTGGGGGGGTCAACCAAAGTCCCTTCCCAACTCCAACTAAATACCCTACTGTTCTAGGAGAAACCATCATGGCTTCTGATTCATGTGTGAAGACACTTCTATCTCTGTGGTCCATAAAGCTTGTTGCCTGCTATTATGAATTATGGTCATGAACTACATGCTGAAGGAGAAGAGAAGAAATTATCTATCAATTAGGAGGATATTATTTATGATCTCACAAAAGGGTGAATATGTACAGTGGTGTAGCCAGGTTTTCGTCAATGGGGAGGCTAAGTGGAATGTGGGGGGGGCTTACTTCTCCTTGTCAGGAGTGGAGGGGGGGGGGCAGACACATTCCGACCAGAGTTGTGGGGGGCTGAAGCACCCCCCTGCCCCCTCCTTGCTATGCCAATGAATATGTATTATGAATGTTTCCTTGGAAAAAGGAATTTGCCTGTTTTCATACTGAAGAATGATAGATAAGGAAGCAAAGTCCCTTGTTCACCTGTTGTGAAAGTTCCTATTCCTAAATTAAAAACTTTTCAATTTAAAAAATCATGGAGGTTTGTTAGATCAATCAAAAAAAGTAAAAATTGCATATACACCCTTAAGTGAGCTCATTGATGTGTGTCCTTCCCCCCCCCCCCCCCCATTCTCTGGCAATGTCCCTGTTTCTATACATTCTGTATTCTTACCTTAAAAACGTTGAAACATATATTTTTGCAGGTTAATACATTTGGTGATTACCTTGGTGATTCAATTCACCCTGATGCGAGACCTGGAAAAGATGGCCGGGCCTCTCCGCATTGGGATCATATACATCATGTCAGGTGTGGCTGGAAATCTTGCCTCTTCTGTCTTTGTCCCCTATCAAGCTGAGGTAAGTCGATGTTCTGTCAATGGAAGAAGGGAAAAAAAGGATTCTGAAGAAAAATATCCATAATGGTCCCATAGGTGGGTCCAGCTGGGTCCCAGTTTGGTTTGCTGGCATGCCTGTTTGTGGAAGTGATCAACGTTTGGCCGATGCTGAAGCAACCAAGTTCGGCCCTCTTGCGTCTCCTTGTGGTCACCCTCATCCTCTTCCTTCTGGGCCTCCTCCCCTGGGTCGATAACTATGCGCACGTGTTTGGCTTCATCTTTGGCTTCCTCCTCTCCTATGCTCTCCTGCCGTTTGTGTCTTTTGGGAGCTATGAGCGCCGCCGCAAGCTCATCTTCATCTGGGTGTGTCTCTTGGCTGTCGTCGTCCTCTTTTCCCTCCTCATCGTCCTCTTCTACGTCACGCCCTTCTATGAGTGCGAGCTCTGCAAGCTCCTCACTTGCATTCCACTCACCGATAACTTCTGCGCCGACCAGAACATCAACTTCAACAAACCCAACAATCTCATCTGATTTTTGTGATGTTCAAAGTGCAACAAGAAAGAAAACTTTAAAGAAAGAAAAATTTCCAGGAAGGTAATCGCAACAAAGTGAAGCATACCGGTGGTCTCCATAGAGTTATGTTCTTGAATTGTTACATATATGTCTGTTGACCGTAAGTGCCACGGAATGGAATGGAATGCATGTCATTTATATACCAAGGATATCTGAAAAATGAAATAATTTACTCAGATATGCCAGTTGTCAAGTGTCTTCCTTTTTTATGAAGCTTCAGCATGTAACTTCGCTATTTGAGCATAATGTGGGCTTTGGACATTCAGTGTCATGTAGTCTCTACAACCCATGCAACCATTTCACTCTGGCAGTGTGACCATCATCATGCATCTAAATCAGGAAAATGGAAAAAAAAGGCTAAAAAACAGAACATATTTTTTATACTGAAAGTCAAAATTCATCATTGAAAGTCTTTTCTTGCACCAATTGAGCTCTCTATGCACAGCATCAATATCATAGGCATATGTTGATATTGGCACAACAAGGAAGTTGCAACAGGGAACAGCACCAGAAGCTCAAGCTCAACATCAAAAACATGCCATAAAAAACATGAATGCTAATTACCAATTTTTAAAACTAGTGGAGATGAAGGTCCTTTTGATTTCATATATTATCTCAGAATCACTTATATTGTCACATTTGTGGCTTCAAATATTTGTCATCGTGGGTTAACTTGGTTGCTGGAAATTCCTGCGTTGTTCCTATGCACTGGCTGAAGTTTAGATAGGAATCTGGATAGGCTGAGCACTGTTTCTTTTAATTCACGGGCTTCATCTTCCAAACCCTCCATTTTCCCCATCAACTGATCCAGCTGCATGAGACATACATAGCTTTAATCAAATGAAACATTTTGTCTAATGTAAATTAGATTGCTCAAGTTCACTGTCTTGCTGTAACCCACCTTGAGAGAATAGTCTTTATAACGCTGCAATTTGCCAGAATGTTCAGCATAAACATATAGAATCTTGAGAGTGTATAAGATGAAGAAACCAGCTGAAAAACTAAGGAGGATAAGGAGTAGATGTGCAGGTCGCCATGGCATCTCCTTTCAGATTGACGAGGATACAGGTACACCTATCATCAATTAATAGTCCATGAAAGTTGAGCAGCTGGCAGGAACATGAAGTATGACATAATGCAAAGAGGTTCTCAGAGTAGTAGTGACTCATGAATTGCAAAGCTGAAGACATGTTGGTGGTAAGAGTAGACACCTGGCAAGGACTTCCAAGTCCATTCTTTGGCAAGTCAGCCAAATAGGTGCAGCATTACTTGGTCAAATAAATTTTATTACTCATCTGCAAGCTGAAAAGTTTGGTCCTTCATTTGGGACTATGGAAATGTAATACATATGTTCCATCAGAAGCTCCATTAAAAAAATCACAGAAACCGATTCAATTCAAGAAATTCAGTCAAGGCCAAGAAGCTTATAACTCTGACTTGTCTCCTTTTTGCTTTTCCTCTCCAGAATCTTTTTTTCCACTCCAAACCTCATCTAGACATTTGTCTTCTCCTGGATTCAGGACCCGTTCAGAGCAGAGATATCTCTTTAAAGGCTTTTCATCTTGATGGTGATAGTACCACTCTTCTATATCGTCTTCATGATCCTCAATCATCTTCTCACACTGAAATAAAATAAAACCCAAACCAATACATTTTCAGAAGTTTATCTGAAAGGTTGGAACCACATTCAACATTAGACTCTGCACTGAAGGAAATAAGCATGGGGCATAGGTTACTTACTTTTGTCTTCATATCAGCGACTTCTGCAGAAGGATCATCCCACAGCTCATATGGCATTCCAATATCCACCTTCACACCCTTATTCCTAAAAAACCACAAAATTCACTGCCTTTCATTAATTGGGTTTACCATTTGAATCAGCTGAAGATGTAGCAGGTTAAAGCCATACACAAGACCATGCAATGTTTTGAATGTATCGCTCATTCCTTTGGCAAACCGAGTGCTGTCAGTTCTCTCCTTATGAACACGATATTTCAGAACTTCATCACAGACTCTGTCCATTGACTCTATCAGTCGCAATTCCCTGTGAAAAAAAAGAAGCCTGAATGGACATCTATGACATGAAGAACAACTACTTATGGATTGATGGCAACACTAACGATTGTTTGTATTTCTTCTTAGCCTTTTTCTCCATGCCATATCCAGTGTCAATGGTGTCATGAGATTTTCCTGTTTTCTGCAGACGCTCGTCCAATTCTGCAGTCAAGACTTTGCAAACTAAACAAGCAGAAAAATGTCATGAGAGAGCATCTCTTCCTATTTTAAATTTAAAACCTCTTTAGTCCTGAGTCATGCAGAACATTCTCTTTTAATCAGCTGCAACACTTGGAAGGGTCACTTTCATTTTTCACTCAATTCATTGCTTTCAGTTCACTTGCTTTCCTTCATGTTTCTACACTTATAGAAAACTGATTTTTTTTTTCTATCCTGATGAAAATATATTTAATAATATACATAAAAACACTAATGTCCAGAGCCTAGACACCAAGAATAAAGTGGTTAATGCATTGGATACATCTAGAGTGGTTGCAGGCATGGCGTACCTTCACATGTGCTTGGAAGCTTGACTCCTGGTGCGACTTCGTCGTCATCTGCAGTTTCTCCGGTCGACAGAGCCGCGAAAAACACACAGGATATCAAAATTGTAAGTAAAATATTGAAGTTTTGTCTGCATCGAAATCTGGCGATACTGAATTTCCATTCCCTCATCTTGCATATATGCGCAAGAATACAATTCACAAGCACACAAATGCCCTGGCTTCACGCGCCTCTTGGGGTTTCTGCGATAAAGCCTCCGGATGCCAGATAACACGGCAGCTGAAGATATTCTCAGGGTTATGCACTCAGTGTTAAAGAAAGTTCTTCCTGCGGGCAGACATCTTCTTTCCTCGAGCCAATCATAGAGTAACCAATCACGTCCTACTGCTTTTCCATTGGTTAATTTCCGGCAGTGTTATGGCCGCTTCTGGTCCTCGGGCACCGGTCCATTTGCCTCGTTGATTGACTCCTGATTTTCATTTCTCGCAGTTTGTCTTTTCTAGCCTAGGTGCTCCAGGGAAACGCTCATTGAAATGGTTGAGAAACACAGTTTTGGTGTCGAACCGATATCTTGCCATGCATGGAACAGGGATTATACGCGTGAGTAGCTTGTCTTTCTGTCAGCCGAGTAGGCCTAGTGAATTGGTGTATCGTAGGCTGTCATAGGTTCTGGTTAGCCATGGATGAAGAACAAAGAGCTTGAAACGGATCAGATTCTGTCCATGGAGAGACTAGGTGTAGGCTGGGAGCTTTCCAGGGAAGGTCTAATAACCTTTCTTTCTTTTTCCTCCAGAGATAGCGCTGTCACCTAATAACAACGAAGTCCACGTCTATCAGAAACTGAAAAACTCGGAGTGGAAACTATTGGATGTCCTGACAGGACATGACCTCCTTATTACAAGTATCGACTGGGCACCAAAATCAGACCGGATTGTGACCTGTTCTGCTGTGAGTTAGTGCTCAGCACATAGAACTAGGCTCTCAATAACCTTATCAAATAACCTTGTTACTTTACCAATTTAAACCTTACCTAACTGGCTAATTAGGTTAGGTAACTGATAGCCTAAACTTAGCTTGGGTGTTTCTCTGACACTTTATGCCTACTTTCTTCATTCTTTTACAGGATCGCAATGCATACGTATGGACCAAAGGGAGTGATGGAAAGTGGAAACATACTTTGGTGCTCTTAAGAATCAATCGAGCTGCTACCTGTGTCAAATGGTCCCCTGAAGGTTAGAGCTGGATGTTTCCCAGATAAGTAGCAGTACCCTGGGTATTTGTAAGATTAGAATTTTACAAATTTATCAAATTTCCTCTGACTCTATTAATTGCATTTGTTGCTACCCAGATTAAGAATGCTGCAAATGGTATATCAGCCATCAGAGATTTCATTGCAATTACTACTAGCAATTAGACTGACACATGATTTTGATTAGGTGTGAATACTGACAAGACTTTCAAGTTTTGCCAATTGGCTAATTGCCGATTCTGTGTTGCCACTTAGAACCATCGACCAGTTTCAGAGCCAATACCAGAGACAAGCCATAGCTTATTTTTGTGGGCTTCCATTGGAATTTTTCTGGCTCATGATTTGATGGAGAGGCTAGGAATGAGTGCATAATTGGAAAGGATAGAGAAATATGTTTCAGCCATTGTCATTTTTTCTCATTCTGGGGGCACTTTTTATTTCAATATTATTCTCTTTCTTGCCATATATGAAAAGAAATTAGAGGATTCATTGTACCCTTTAGATGGATGCAGGAATTCCAATAGGTAAAGTTAAAAGTTCTTGGAAACAGAGAATTCACTGAGAGATTTGCAAAGGCAGACCAAGTATTATAGCCAGACTAAGAGTTATTTTTAAGTCCATTAATTGACTAAGCGAGAACCATTTCTGAAAAGATGGAAATATTTCAATAGGGTTTGCTGTTCGGAAAATTCTCTCTAATTGGTGAAAAATTGCAAGATGAAATTCAGCATAGACATAGCTCTTAGATGAAGAAGTGCTATGAAGAGTTTTAGCAAGGAAATTTTCAATGACAAGGTTATAATTGTTAACTTATGAATGCATCCAAAGAAAATTCTTCTTGGTTAGACTGTTGGCTTCCTTTGCCTGTTTTCCTGCGTCTCATCTTCTTTGATAGGATATTATCCCCTGCTTTCTCCTGGAAAGATGGGCTCAGGGTGGTATCAGTTTACTGCCAACAGTTGCTATTTATTTGTTCATTCATCATTTATGAATTGTAGTGCATTGTGAGCAATACCTGTGATGCTTGAATTTCTACTGCTTGCTGTGCCTCTATGAAGGCTTACAGGGTAATGGCCAAATTAGTTTTAATCACTGGATTTGGTGGCAAGACAAATGGTAGTTTATTGCATGGATAACTCTGGAAGACCAGGCACTCCTTCCTGTCAAAGCTTTATATAAATGCACATACACGACTACAGTCCAAAGACACAGCCTACTATAAACGTGTGTTCATGTTCACAGTACTTAAAGGGTTAAAATGGTATTAACCCTTTCCAGTCCTTTGTCCAACCTAGTTGGACATGGATGTTTTCACGTTTCGGTCTGACCACGTATGTCCAACCTGGTTGGACACGAGCATTTTCCCGTTCGGAAAAAAGTAAAAAGACCGGAAAGGGTTAATATATCATGCAGTCCTAATAATGCCTCCATGTCATGTTTTCTCTATAAACATGTGTTGCAGGAATATAAACATCACTTTTAGTCATAGTGTAGCTCACTTTTCTTTGTCTTATTGCAGAGAACAAATTTGCTGTGGGCTCTGGTGCAAGGCTGATCTCCATTTGCTATTTTGAGAAGGAGAATGACTGGTGGGTGTCCAGGCACATCAAGAAGCCAATTCGTTCAACTGTGACTTCCATTGCATGGCATCCAAATAATGTCCTGATTGCTGCTGGCTCAACTGACTACAAGGTTCTTCAAATTTTATCACTCCTCATATTGAATATTATGCCTGGATATTTTTTGCTTATGGAAGAAACGTCATGACTTTTGTGAGGTGAAGAAAACTAAAAATTTCTCAAGCTTGAAATTTTTTCTATAACACAAGCTTTGATTTTCAGAGAACTTTCAAGAGATTGGCACCTGGTACAAAAACAGCTTGGAGATACCTGCCTATAATCAGATAATGTTCATGGTGATGAGGTTTTACACCTTATGAAGCTTTTTCCTGTCTTCTCACTACTCATTCAATTAGTGCCAGTGTTGTTTGCTAAGAACTAACTCACACCTAGATATCTGTTTTCCCAACAAAAAGAGTATTTCTTATATTAAACACATAGTGAAAGCAGCAATTCTAAAAAGTTAATGTGTGAAATATATAGTGAAAGAATATCCTTTATTAATATGAAGCATAATTTATTATCATGTTGCGAATTCTTGTTCAGGTGACAATGTTTCATTTTATTTTAAATTGAGCTTTTGAGATCTTATTCCTATTTTTTTATTTGCAGACAAGAGTGTTTTCTGCCTACATCAAAGAGGTTGAAGAAAAGCCTTCACCAACACCCTGGGGGCCAAAAATGCCCTTGGGGCAACTAATGGCTGAATTTACTAATTCTCCTCTTGGAGGTGAGGAGGAAAATAATGAAGTCTGAATGCTTGACTTTTGTGGGGTTTGGTATGTGTGGAATTATTTTGAAATGTTCTGTTTCCATTGAAGGTGGTTGGGTCCATAGTGTGAGTTTCTCACCAAGTGGAAACAAACTCTGCTGGGTTGGACATGACTCATCAGTAAGTGTTGCAGATGCAGCAAAAGTTGATGAAGCTGCTCACACCCGAACTGATCAACTGCCGTTCCTCTCGTGTGACTGGATCAATGAAAAATCTATTATTGTAGCTGTAAGTACAGGCACAGTTCCTTGGTAGTGAGTGTGAAGGATATGGGAATCTTCCCTTTTGCTGACATCATCTCCTTCTCTAGGGCCATGGATGCTGTCCGATGTTGTATACTGTGGGTGATCAGAACAAACTGACTTTGGTTTCCAAATTGGATGTCACTGCCAAGAAGGAAGCAGCTGGAATCACGTGAGTGCATAATTATGCTACATAATCCTTTTACTATCATCATACACTCACTATCTTTCAGCCTCTACTACATGGTGTTTCATGGTGATTACATGATTGCATAAATGTATGTCTGGCTTCATACAATTTAACTTCTGCTTGATGATGCTTGTGAAGGAAAAACATTGATTCTCCTGAGAAAACTAGGGCTTGTTACTCACATTGGCAAATATGCTGTGCATATGACTTCATCAGTACCATCAGTCATTGGTAGGCCTCTGCACTGCTGGAGCTGTTGTCCCCTTCCCATCCCAAGATAAGTGCAAGTAAAAAGCAGGTGTGCTTCTGAAAATGTTCCTTTCCATTTCAAGGCCACATTGCCAGCCCTCCCAAGCATAGTATCAATCTTTTTCCTTGTATCATTCAGTCATTCTGTGCCCATGACCTAAATTTTCCAGTATCTACATTTCCACCTGAGTTCAATATCGATTGGTCTATCAGCCAAATCCTGTCCTTGGTACACTTATAGTGAGAAATAAATATGCCTTATAAGAATCCTTAAAAAAAGCATACTCAACTGGATATGATCATGTATGTAGAGAGTTTGGGCATATTACCTATGATCCGTGTCCCCATTTGCCTGCCATATACAACAAAAGTGAGGTTGATTCTAGGGCCAAGTAACACAAAATATACTTAAGACTTGAAGCATTTTGGTTGTTGAGTGACTTTCTAAACCAGTAGGTCCCAGTAAAGGCTGCTACTTGCAAGAGTTGGTAGTTCCAGTCCTTTATGGTAGCAGAAAGGGGCATAGTGAATGTATCTCAGCCACTGATATTTGCATCAGGTGGAGGTGTAGCATGCATTCTTAGTGGCAAAGGAAATATGCTTCAGTTTTTTGTTCAATTTGGTTGGTTCCATAGTTAGAAGAGGATCAGGAATACATACAACTTTTACCACCAAAGCTTTAGATGAAAATAAGAGAATAAAATGGATAAGATAGGCCATGTGTGGTGTCATTTTTACCAGCTATTCTCAAATAGTGAAATGGTGATGGTTACCATTGTTGTTCATCAAATGAAGGACCAAAAGATCCATGCAGAATATTGGGATAGTGATGCAAATCTCATGATACAGCTCTTTGTAATACATGCAAGGAGCACTGCAAAGCCAATAGCTATGAGGTCAAGTAAAGTCATCTAGTTACATAAGGTATAACTCCTGCATAAGGCATACAAGTGCTATACTAAAACTAAAAACCTAGTCTCTTAGCCAATATGATACTCCCTACTGGCCAGGTATGGTTTAAGAAATTAATCAAGGAAAGTGCTTTACAATAAAAAAAATAAAAAAAATAATTACATGTTATAAAATCTCAAGAAAGTCAATTTTAACACAATTGCCACATGTATTCATGCAATCCTTGTTAGTGAATGTGTTTCATGAAAACTCCTTTTTTTATGCTTTTAAATCATAAAGTTTTTGCTAATATGCTAAGTTTCTTGATTGTTACCCTCTCCTCCTGCAGTTTATGGGCCAAATATACCTCACCAATGTGGGCCTGACACAAAGCATTGTATGCATAAGAATGAATATAATATTGTCATTTGTTTCACTCTTTTATACAGGGCCATGCGAAAATTTCAAAGCTTGGACAGGCAAGCTCGTACAGAAAGCAGTGACACATCTTTACCCACAGTGCATCAAAATTCAATCACACAACTGGTGCTCATGGAACAAGGGAAGAAGGTCTCAACAACTGGAATTGATGGCCAGCTTGTCATTTGGGATTTTAAGGTATGTAATGATCCTCTGTATTGCTTAATGTGAAGTAAGTAAATATGTCATAATTACAATTCTGACATCTCTTGAAAAAGAACTGCAGATTGGGAGAATGCTCCAATGTGAACAGGGATTTCAATAATTTTTTTGTGAACCTAACTTAGATGCAGGACTTTTGCTTCTGGCTTCACTGATACTTGTTAAGTTCTAACAATTTTTGCCTAATATTGCTGAAATTTCATTCTTCCTTTGCAGTCCCTGGAGTCAGCTGTTGCAGGGCTTCGCATCTTGTGATGCTTTCGTTTAAAATTTTTGTCAAGTCTCATAATCCCATGTTGTGATTCTAATTGTTACTTCCCAATGACTTTTGTTCCTTGATTATGCCTGTTTCATATGGTATTATTGAGGTGAGATTTTCTATGAATGCTTCATTGATTGCCCTTATATAATACAAATTTTCTCTGAATGTGGCTTTTATTCTTTGTTGGCTAGCATGAAGCTGACATCAAAGCACAATGTAGTGGTGGATGAAAATAAAAAAAAACCACATTACACAGTTCACACAAAGATCACAGTTGGGCAAATTTAAGGTTTTCAACCCCAAGCTTGACTTTTGCAATAATTGAGGACAAGTTTCCCATCTGAACCAAAGCATTCATACAGATTTTGTATGATCTGATCTGGTGAAGGAGCAAACGACTGGTTCACATACAGGAACTGCAACAAAAAAAGATGAGTTCATGTGCAAAGATGATTAAACAAGTGAGTAGGCCTACAGTTATTACATACCAGTGACTCAGAAGGGCCAAGTTTCAAATACTTTCGAATGAATTCTATTATTTTGGCAATTGATCTGCTTGGCTCCACAAGGAACTTTTTCAGCTTCATGATGGGAGCATCACCAACAGGCTTGAGGAGGATTTCAACTATTTAAATGAGATACAATCCAATTATGTAATCCCAAGAACCCTAAAAGAAAACTTGCCTTTATTGTTACAAATACCAAACTGGTACCTTTATCTGTTGGATCACGTTTCACTTGTTCAGCTGTTTTGAGCTCTTCTGTTTTCTCCTGGGAGCTCATGCTGTCTACAGGAGCAGGCTCATCACTTTCTTCTTGACTTGCAGACATTATAGATTTGTCAATTGTCTACTGCCTTCTGGAATGCTGGGTGAAACAGCTTCATACGTAGATACCTTAAACCTATATAAATGGATTCAATGCCAAGTGTACAGGAAGGAAAACCAAAAATTACAAATCTCACAACATACTGCAGGTCTACACAGGCTTGGTACATCTCAGCATCAAAAGCACATTGCTCTCTTTTGAAAGAGGTCACATTCCTTGCAGAACACCTACCTCAGGAGTCACTAGGTTTTTTGCTGCAACTGCTGGCTATACCCAAGACAAACCATTCCCATGTTTAGCTTCTTTGGGTCCTTTTTAAATAACACCTGACCATTGGGCTTCCAAAATGATTGAAATTCAGTTACAATGAACAGAAAAAAGAAAGGGCAAACACAAGACATCCCAGTCGCAAAATATTGGGCTGTCAGCTCTCACTCAGAGGAGTGGTAAGCAGTGGCGATATGAAGGGAACAGTAGCCATGCTGCCTTGTATATAAGAGCTACCATAGATGTATTCAGCAATTCTGTTGGTATTCCAGATTTGCTGCTAGGCCTGCCATTGCACTAAGCACACAGCTCAAGAATAGGGATTCAGGAGGCGTATTTTGGATCTTTGCCCAATTATCTATCATATGTAGGCTAAACCTTGTCGAATTACGCCTTTCACCATGGATGGTATAATTATTACATTATTTAATCTCCGTCAGCACTGTAGGACTACAATAATTATTTCGGTTTGCCTCCATATAATATCCCATTTTACTCAATGCCACTCGCAGTGGAAAAGCTTTAAGATGGGTACCTAAAAATCCAGCCGATTCGACATGTAAGCTACCGAACCTATCAGCCTACTTCTACAGATGAAAGAAGAAAAAGTTCCGGGGATTGTGTTCCAAGTCACGATGGACACGATGGTCGCCGCCATGATGAATAAATGACGTAACTTGAACCGTCTGCTTCTGTTGTGCTCCAGAGCTTGGGCCCGTTGCATTGCCTCAGTTAAGTCAGACTTCCGCGCTAAGTCTGACTGGTTAACAGTGTTTTTCACTTGAGTTAGACATTTTTTCTCTTGACTTCGACAACGGTACACGGTGAGGGTGATATCGCGGATCGACCCAGAAACTAGGAGTTCCATTCTTAAGTGCAGATGTCGTGATGACAATGGCGACAACGATGATGATTAATTTCCTACTGAAGAGAGGGAAATCATTATGAACCCTCCCAAATACACAATACATTGAAATGATCATTCAATGTCGTAGTGAAAAACTAGACTTTCGTGTCACCCATTACTGTATTCCTTAATAATATTTCAATAAAACAGGTGACTTTTGGGCATCGTTCCTTGGTTCTGAAGTATCATTTCCCATGCCGAACTCACATGGGCTAGATTAGGCCTAACGTGGACCTGGAATTGTCAATCGAAGTCAGATCCAGTGTTTCTACATCGTTGAGCCAACAGGAAATTGAAAACTTAGAGCCTTTCTTATTATTGAAATAGACTGCAAGGAAGGTCTCCTGTTGAGAACGTGGCTATGCTCGCGGTTCATCGTTTCCAGTACATAGTTTGATTCATATGAAAAAGCCTAGATATTCGGAGCGAAAGATGTCGCTAGTCACCAGGGGCACCATCGCCCTCGCCTCCACTCTGAATATCCCACGCATTGGTGTCTTAGTCGAGTGAAAAATTGTCTAACTGAAGTGAAAAACTGTACCATGCTTCCTAAGTCTGACTTTACTGAGGCAGTGCAACTGACCCCTTCTCTCAGTGACAGATCCAGAAATTGTGCATGGAGGAGAGGTCAGGTGGGCTTATCGCGTAGTTCCATGAGGTGAGTGGGAGGGGGTGAACACGCAACGTCGACGTGCAAGCAACAAGTGAGTTGACAGCATAGAGTCAACTCACGCTTAATGATTTATTGGCAAATTTTCATGAATGAGAAGAAGCTCAAAGCATGCCAAAATTCTGGAGAGCTCGATTCTTGAGTCTTCTGAGCACCCTCATATTACCCTTGCGATTAGGAGGAATAGGAGTGAGACCAAGAGTTGTGGAGATTTCCTTCAAGGTTATCATCTTTAGTCAGAAGAAAAGATTCGGAGAGAATTCTCCATAATTAGTTACCACTTCGAACGCTTTTATCAACGTTTGCGGCATTGCTACTGCTTCAAAAACTCCCCAAAACAATGCACAAATTTGTCGAACTTGTCATTTATGAAATATATGAAATAGACCTAGCATCATATCTCCTCCTCTTCCTATGCTTAATATCTTTCATCTTTTCGTTTTTATCGTCAAAGACGGTGTGCTCAAAGGAGGAATTAGAGGTTCGTTACCAGGCCGGACTTGGTTCGGGGAGACTCAGCTGGAACCCTTGATGGCAGAGCAGGATCTCGTGTGAGTACCGTAACATAGGGCCCGCCTTCAGAGGGGTGCCGACATTCTTCGGAATGCCTTTCTAGTGACTGGTCCACAAATCAGGCGTCAGGTTTTATCGTCCAAGAGGAGGTGAAAATTAATTGCTACTTCTCTTCCCATTCCTACCCTATTGTCTCCAAAATATTGCAGAGGAGGTCGGTGAGAGCGACAATGGATTAAATAATGGGTGGCGTTCTCCTGATCTACAGCTTTTCCTTTCCCATTGTCTGTCCTTAATTGGAAGCCTGAAAGAGTGAATGTCGGGCGAGGATCCGCATCCTCTCATTCCATTTTTTTTTACGATCCTGTCTTGTCAAAACATCTCTAGGGGAAATCTCGAGGGGTTTTTCGCCATTTTACCTGTCACATGCATTTGTTGCCCCCAATGAGAGCATGTGACAAATACAGAGCATGTTCATGTGCAGTAGAAAATCGATAGAGATTTATTTCAGGAAAGACTTGCACTGATTGGGTTGCTCTAAATTAATAGCACAAGTCATTGCCCCAATGAATTCCCAGTTTAAAATCCCAACTGAAATATTCCAGCTGGTCTAAATCTGTAAATTCGGACCATTTCCCATTTCCAATGGGAATGGCCATGCAGAATCAAGGATCAAAGATCGTGGAAAAAAGAACGAAAAAAAAAAAAGTTCCTTATTTTGTCGTTACCTCTCTACTTTGCGAATCGGAATTCTTGCCTTGCAAACGACGCTCCAATTCTGCGTCAGCATGCATATATGAGCATAATATGTTCACGGCCTATTTTTTCCTTTTTCGAATTCATCCCAGCAGAATCGTTTCTTCTTTGGCGGCCCTCCCATACATACAGCGGGTACCCAAAATTATTATGTGGTATCAAAACTGAAATCAGGTACATGATGTATTATGCTGTAGTTCTTACGTACACGATAGCATTCCCTATTAATCGCGACGCTTTGTGAACAAGACGATCATATATCGTAGAATGATTATGTCACTAAACTAATATCCGTGATGATGAGTAGGATTGTATGCTGTAGCACACACAAAAGAAGGGGGGGCGCAGGCCCCCTCCCCCCCTTAGCGTCTGGGAACCCCTACCCCCTTGGCACTCTCTTCGCCCTGCACTACCCCCCCTCCCCCTCCAACCAACATAAGACGACCACCTTGTCGACGAGATAGGGCGCAGCGGCAGTGACGAGGAGGAGCCGAGCGAGGCAACTGGCAACGTCTGCCGCGGTCAGGGCGATCTGCAGCCACGCCCCCGAGCCGTTCGCGAAGCTCAGCAGGAGCATCAGGCCGAAGACGTGGGATAATTCGTGGACCTGTTCCCCCAATTTCACGTAATCCTCTCGATGAGTCTCGAGGATCTCCCAGTCTCGTCCGATCAGTGTCGACGGGTCCGTCGTTCCTCTGTGCGAGAGGAACGCATTCGATGAGAAGATTCCATTGCATCGGCTCCTATTTCACGACGGTCATACCGTTACCCGAGAGCGTGGATGTGATGGAATTTCCTCGGATTTCGAAAGAACCGATTTTTATAGCTGATATTCTTCGATCGACCTGCTGTTTTCAGTCCTTTCGAGTTATCCGAAGCGTTGCATCGAAGTAGCTCGGCGAGAAGAACGCATTGGAATTCCGGGATCATGGGCATCACATAAATCACGTAGCCGTTCAAGGCAGAAAGGAAGAACATCGTCAGACTGACTAAAGTGACCTCTTTCACCGTTCGAAAGAAGACGGAATCGAATCGTAGAAGACGGAACGAGGAAGACGATGACGTTTCGACAACGTCTATACGCCCGTCCATCGATCTCGCGTCTCTTCAGGTAAACGTGAAGTCCGTTGAAGAATCCGGGGAACTTCCGCGCATTCCAGATCGACGAGACGTAAACGCAATTGACCCACGCAACGGTGGTCCAAAGGTTGATCCGAAGGGCCAATTCGTCTGCGCTGGAGAGCCGCTGCGACGCGTGCTCGGTGCCGTTCCGGCTCTCGTCGCCGGGAAAACTGTAGTAATGAAAGGCCAGGCTCACCGGCGGGAAGAAAAAGCCGTAGACAAACGCCCACGTACGCCATCGGAATTCCGAAATCGGTCTTCGACCGATGTCTCTCACGTTTTGGATGGGGAAAACCCCAACGAGACTCCCCAAATATCCCAACGGGAGAAAGAGCCTGAGAAGGCCATCGCTTCCACCTCGAAGACCCTTCATATCCTCACAGATGAATAATATGAAAACTTATGAATAATGCGAAAACTTATGAATAATGCGAAAACTGATGAATAATACGAAAACTGATGAATAATACGAAAACTGATGAATAATACGAAAGACGACTGGAAATCACAAGGATCCGGTCGGGATGAGGCGAAGCAAAAGACTTTGCCGCCCTTGTGCTATCTCTCGTTTCGAGTACGTGTGGAAACACCTTCCCACCAGTAATGATGGAATCTTATCCACTCCAGATGGCGACGTTTAGAAAAGAGAACATCAGGGTGCAACGAAAGGACGCACAAGTGGCCATCGTCATCGGTTATGCGCAGTAACGCTTCAAAAACGTCGTATTTCATTATCATCACGGGGTGGAGCAATCTGGATGGATTTTGAAGGAACTTCGGAGGATTTTATTTCGGAAGCAGGAATGAATTCAAGACAGGAAACTATTAATATATCACGGAAGAATTTATTCCTTATTTTCGTCGCCTGTGCCCAGACTCTCCAAGCGAAACTGCAGCAGCACCACCAGGTAAGTGACGATTGTACCCGTCACCTGAAATGAAAGCACACGCGCCGAATGTGTGACACGAACGGCAACATATCGAGGTTGACGAATTGGTAACTTAATGGTAATTCGTTTGGTAATTGGCGGAATCGGAGATGCCCATTGCTCACCGAGACTGCGAGACCCTTATCCACGTCGAAAAAATCCGACGCCGTCAGCCGAATCGGTCTGGATTGGATCTGCAGGTATAAAAGCTTCGCCTGGTCGGAGAAAATGAGCACATAGCGTTTTCGTCGCTCGATTTCCTCCATTTCATTATCAGGGAGAGATTCGCTCACCTTCTGTGCCGTCTCGGACGATGAGTTGAAGCCCGTCACTTCGTTCAAGCGTTTTATGAACTCTCCTTCCTGCAAGGATCGGTAGTAGATACTTCTAATTTAATATGCACAAAGCAGCGCATAATTAAAAGCTACGGAAATAAATGTAAAAATAAAAAACTCGGCCCTTGTTCTCGAATCCTATCGTGTTTCCTTTGTTTTTTTTTCCTGCTTCCAAAAAGACCATTTAGCGATTATCTGACTCTTTTGGCTCCGCCACCGACGTCTGTTGCTTCTGAGCTCGCAATTCACGATACCGACATGGAATGGAATATTTTTCATAGTTCGTGATTGCTCATCGTCACGCTTTGCAAACTCGAAGGTCACTCACTGTGGAATGATAATATGATGTCGCTATGCCCGTATCGATATTGTCTATGCGAGTCCCATCACATCACGACGGATGGCCATCAGAGCGACTGAATGAAGAAAGCGAGAAGGATTCCCCGAAGAGAAACGTGTTGGCAGCTCTGAAACGGCTGCAAAAGCGATTCTGCCTTAATTTCTTCGTCCATCGAAGAAGAGATACACGATGGAGATTTTTTTTTTGGTTTCGATCCTCTCTCCGAAGGCTTCCGCATTGGCAGCTTCCAGCTCTTTGCCCCCGACAACTGAGAATTTTTATTTAGTCAGCGTGAAAATTCGTGAAGCGGGAGGAAACATGTTAGAACCGAGTCTTCCCAGTTTTCGAAGCAAAAATTATCGTGGATTGTAGAAAATTCGCTGTATTCGTGATCATTTGCGTCCGTTGCAGATTCTTAAACACGTCGAGTCAAGTAAGGGTTCGAATAATAAATATAGCTGAGTATTTGGCATAATATTCGTCGTCACATTTTTAGTTTTTGCACGAAATGCAAGTCCTTAACTTTCTGTTCCATTTCTTGGAACTATAACCTAATAAAGCTGTGGCCATTCGAATAGCAGTACGAATCAATCAAGAGCCCATTCTTGAAGCAAGCCTTGCTTTTGCACGTATAGAACAGGAGAGTCAATGGAGCAATGTTTGTAAAACGTTGGAAATTTAACATGAAAAATAGAGGGCAAGTGATTCGGGAACACCATTCTTCTGAGAGACACGAAGAGTTGCTCAACATCGACTCCAATGTTGGCCTAATCTTTAATTTCTCGATGTTAATGTCGATGTTCGCCCGAAATTAGATCAACCACAGCTATTTCCGCCTGTTGATACATCGCGCATTTGACATCGTTTGGGGAATACGTTTTTCTTGGACTCTTAACGATCAATTTCATATTTTTCAATTTCAAATTTCAACAGAAGTATGGCACGTGGAAAATTGAAAAAAGAAAGCTTCTTCACGCAAGAAATGAAAAATATGATTTTCCTTTCTGTTTAGAGCTCCAACTGGGGGAGATCCCTGTGTCACCCTGTAAGGGTATGGAAGGGAAGGGCCATGCCCCCCCCCCCCCCCCCCCCCCACCCTCCCCCCGCTCGTCACTCTGCTACCATAATAATACTGAGCTACCCCATTGTATTCTGGAATAATTCTGTTAATGTTATTTCAGGGGAATTAGGAACTTCCCCCCCCCCCCCCAATAATTTTTAGAAGTCGGCACCTATGCCTAGAGGTGCATACAGTATTTGGGTTCCACAGAGGAAACCCTTTCGAAATCAAACTCGTATATATTTAATGAAATTCGAAGCAAAGTTCGATACGTCTCGGGCTTTCCTAATAGCAATTACTTACTTTGCTCCATCGCATTTCCGATATTGCTAGATGGGAATTATTTTTATTTGCATTCATGTAAACATGATCTGGATTTTTGCTGCGAATGAAGACATTTGGTCATGGAAAATATTGGATATAGTCTAAAAGTGACCACACCCTGTCTGGCGAAATTATTCCCCGGCCATTGTATCGTGGATCCGACAGGGGAATTTCCCCACCATATTATGGCCTTCTGTAGGCAGGCGGATGCAGGGATCTCAAATTCTCATCATGAATGCGTGTTCGAGACAGGAGGAGGCATTGAATCATTTTCATTGAAAAAATCAACCAGTCAAGGAATTTCTTCTCCAAGCCAGTTCAGGAGTTTCCTCTTATTCAGTGCTTCACGCTTATCACATGTCCCCTCCGATCCTGGCCATGGGAGATGTATCGTTTCTTACTTTCCCATCGCTTTTTCGATCGATGAAATGAACATTTTTAAAATTCATTCCTCTGCACTCAAGAAACATCACCTGATCGAATATATACGAAGCAGCGATAGTGACGAGGAAGAGTCGCACGAGGCTTCCGGAAACTTCCCCAGCCGTCGTGAGGATGTTCAACCACTGCAGAGAGCCATACGAGAAGTTCACCGACGCCAAGTACACCGTCACCGTCGTCTTCACGACGCTGTTCACGAAACTCAGCAAGAGTGTCGGACTGAAGACGTAGGATAATTCGTCGACCAGTTCCCCCAGTTTCATGTAATCCTCTCTGTGATTCTCGAGAATCTCCCATTCTCGTGTAATCGGTGTCGACGAGACCGGCGATCTGTGTTAAAGAATAATTTTTATGTGAAGTAAAGCAGATATATTTAATTATATTGGGTCACATTCCACAATGACTGTTTCATTACTTGAGGATGCTGATGAGAAGGAATATGCTTGGTTCTCGAAAGAACCGAGAATTGTAGCTGATATCCTTTGATCGATCTGCTGCTTTCAATCCTTCCAGGATATCTGAAGCTTCACACCGAAGTAACTCAGCGAGAAGGACGCAGAGGAAAACGCATTGAAATTCCGAGATCATGGGCATGATATATACTACGCTGGAGTTCACAGAGGAAAGGAAAGCTGTAACTATTTCGAAAAAAGTGCGTTTTTCCATTTGGAGAAAAAAGACGAAATTACTCATGAATAATGTCAAGACTATCATGAGTGCAGCAACGAACGAGATGATGACATTTCGGCAGCGCCTGTATGCCCGTCCATTGGTTTCACGTGACTCCAGATAAACGTGAAGTGTGTTGAGGAATTTGGGAAACTTCCGTGCATTCCAGATCGAGGAGAAATAAATGCAGATCATCCATACATTGCCGGTCCAGAAATGAATATACCTGGCAAGCTGGTCTGCGATAGTGATCTGCGGTGACATCATGTCGTGGTCGGTGTCATTTTGGTTCTGACTCCTGCCGGCGTCGGACATGGTAAAACTCAAGTAATAAAAGGTCAAGACTACTGGCGTGAAGAAAACGCCATAGAGAAACGCCCACGAACACCATCGGAATTCCGAATTCGGATTTCGACCGATATCTCGAACGTTTTGGATGGGAAGAACTCCAATGAGTTTTCCCAAATATCCCAACGGGAGAGAGAGTCTGAGGAGGCTTCCATCTCGAAGACCTTTCATGTCATTCCTCACTGATAAATAATATGAAAGACACATGGAAGTCACAGAGATCAGGTTGGGATGAGACTTGAAGAAAGACTCTGCCGCTTTCGCCATATCTGTCGTTTCGAGTATGTGTGGAAACATCATTGCGCTGCATTAAGGACCTTATCCGCTTGAGATAGCGGTGTTTAGAAAGTGAAAATATATTCGAAAATTGAAGCAGGGGTCTTCTTCTCGACTTCCGTTATTTGACACTGATACGGTGAATTTCATCTTGATCTCATCGTCCATCTTAAAGATCTAATAACATATTATTCCCTTTTCTATTATGCTCGTCTTGTAGTTTCTTCATAGAGTTGGACGGAGCCACGTGAGCGATGGTGGCATAGGAACTAAGAAATAACCGAATTCTCAAAGCGCTGAATTCTCAGGAGAAAAAAACTTCAGAAAGACAGCCTGAACTGAATTCGGCGTCCATTATCCAAACGTTGAGTTTACGTGACTAGTAAAAATGGTGTGGCAAAAGCATCAAGGATATTGTTTTACTTGTATGATCGAAGGAAACGATACGGATTGTACCCGGGGGATACATATCTCAATTATTCATTTTTTACATTTTAAACTATGGTGCTAATGTGAACTCTTATTAATGAAGAATCATCTAATTTTAAGGCGCAATCACTCAATAATGGGAAATTCTCACATGTAGCTTACCAATCAACATCGATTTGCTTATTTCATGCTTTTGGGGAGGAAAGAAGCTTAAAAATAGGGACATAGGGCAAAAACTTTTATTGAAAATTTTGAGATTTTCTGCTATGCTTGAAATTTGGGGCCCGAGTAAATATGTGTACACTACAAATCCTATGCCCAAGTTTTTGCATTGTGTGCATATCATGGGATATGTGCGCTACAATATCGTAAAATAATATTAAATCCTCTTTATTTATATAAATGTATGGAAAAATTATGGAAATAAGAGGGCAGAGAGGCATTCCAATAGTGGCCCAAACATTGGCTTCCAACAATGGCTCAACCTTGCCAGTGTGCTTCTAAGTGGATTAAATTAAGAATATAACGTTCGTATGCATGGTCTTCAGTATTCCACCGTAAACTGAGGCAGAATCCTGCACAGGAAACCATTGGAAAATATCGGATACCACCAAATTTTCCTTTTTCATGGATCCTGGAGGATCGGGGAGAAGTTCAAGTTTCTTGCGAATATATCTCTTCTGCCCTGCCCATCGGTTCGCTTTGGAAAAAATCATATAGGATACTACTGTATAAGAGTTTGGAAACATTACAGTCTTATAGGATTCTTATAAGAATCTGAGTTTAAAAAAACTCAGAATCCTATAGGAATTTTTTTTTCATATGGGTTTCTGTATCATTCTGTATCCGCAACATATAAATGAGGTTTTCAATTCTTCAACTCCTTCCCCCCTTTTTTTTTTTGTGCGGCAGTCTCAAGTTAGAATTATGCGTAAAAGGGATTTTGAAATGGTCTTCGAGTCCAAAATGGTCAGCGCAGTCGGTAGACCTCGTGCGCCTTGCACGAGGACTACAGGACGGACTACATCGCGAAGCTTTGCCATTGGTGCCTCGGTTCTCCACCTCCCGATGTCGAGTTCGTTGACCAGGACTGCCAAATCTGGAACATTCTCTTGCGCATGCGCGAGCGGTGTCTCCATTGGAATGATATAAGCGGCATTAAAACTGAATGAATGTCTTTATCATAATGGGATGGCGAAGTCTGGATGGATTTTCGAAATTACCCCCCCCACATCTCTGTCTCGCAGTCCAGTGTTCGTGTGATGAAGACATCAGGAGTTCCGAGTGGATTTACTTCTGAAATAGTCGTGCAGGAATTAGCCAAGGTAGTAAATTATTTCATGGAGTCATGTTTTTGTTGTGTTGTTTTCGTCGCCTGAGGCCAGACCCTCCAAGCGAAACTGCAGCAGCACCACCAAGTAAGTCACAATCGTACCCATCACCTAAAAAAGAACGGCAACTTATCAAGGTTGATATATCGTATCGTAATTCATGTAAGTAACTGAATCGGAGATGCCGACTGCTTACCGAGACTGCGAGACTCTTATTCACGTCGAAGAAATCAGTCGCTGTTAGCCGAATCGGTTTGGATTGGATCTGTAGGTATAAAAGCCTCGTCTAATAGGAAAAAATGAGCACATAGCATTTTCGTTGCTCGATTTCCTCCATTTCATTATCAGGGAGAGATTCGCTCACCTTCTGTGCCGTCTCGGACGATGAATTGAACCCCGTCACTTCGTTCAAACGTTTTATGAACTCTCCTTCCTGCAATCATCGGTAGTAGATACTTCTAATTTAATATGCACATAGCACACATAATTGAAAGCCACGAAAATAAAAGTAAAAATAAAAGAACTTGGCCCGTGTTCTCGAATTCTATTGCATTTCCTTTGTTTTTTTCCTGATTCCAAAAAGACCATTTAGCGATTATCTGACTCTTTCGGTTCCGCCACCGACGTCTGTTGCTTCTGAACCCTCAATTCACGATACCGACACGGAATGGAATACTTTTCGTGGTTCGTGATTGCTCATCTTTCATCGCTTTGCAAATTTGAAGGTTACTCACTGTGGAATGATATGATGTCGCTATCCCCATATCTACCATGTGGCAAGATCGTTTGCACTTCTTCACGTGATCCTCTTTCTAGGAAATGTAACCTAATAAAGCTGTGGCCATTCGAATAGCAGCATAAATCAATTTAGTTAAATAATCAAATCTTGAAACAAGCCTTTCTCTTGCACGTATAGAACAGTAGAGTCGATGGAGCAATGTTTGTAAAACGTCGGAAATTAAAATGAAAAATAAAGGGCAGGTAATTCGGGGCACCATTTTTCTGAGAAACGCCAAGAGTTGATCATCATCGACTCCGATGTCGACCTCGCCTTTAATTTCTTGTATGTCGGTGCTCGCCCAACATTCGACAATAGCTGTTTTCCATGCGTCGTACATTTGACTTCGTTTGGGGAAAGCCTTTCTTGGACTCTTAAAGGTCAATTTCGTATACATTTTTGTGGCCACACCTACATTCCGGTCGAAATAATGCATGTAACATAAACGTCCATAATAACTTGGGGACTTTCTTGGGCAACCTAGAGGTGCAGATATGGATTCAGCAGGGGAAGTCTTTTCAAAATATATTCATTTAATGAAGTTCGCTTATGAAGCTAAGTCTTGAGCAAACACATTCCCAATAGCTCTATTAGATTCCGATTTTACCGAGTGGCAATTGCATTCATATATGATCTAGGTTTTTGCTGAGGATGGAGTCATTTCGTTAGGGAAAAACCTGCATATTGTCTAAAAGGGACCACACACTACCTGGCAAAATGTATACCACGGCCATTGTATCGTGGACTCAACTCGAGTAGGCATTGAATCATTATCATTAAAAAAGGAAGGTCGACTCGTCGTGGAATTTATTCTTAAAATTAGCTCTGAAGTTTCGTCTTCTTCGGGGCATGACGCTAATCACGTGTCCCCTCCGATCCTGGTCATGAGAGATCTGTCCTTTCTTACCTTTTCATAATCTCTACTGTCGATGAAATGAGCATTTTTTAAGGAAATTTCCCTGCACTCAAGATACGTCACCTGATCGGATATATATGAAGCAGCAATAGTGATGAGGAAGAGTCGAACGAGGCTCCCGGAGACTTCCCCAGCCGCAGTCGCGATGTTCAACCACTGCCGAGAGCCATACGAGAAGTTCACCGACGCCATGTACACCGTCACCGTCGTCTTCACGACGCTGTTCACGAAACTCAGCAAGAGTGTCGGACTGAAGACGTAGGATAATTCGTCGACCAGTTTCCCCAGTTGCATGTAATCCTCTCGGTGATTCTCCATGGTCGTCCAGTCTCGTCTGATCGGTGTCGACGAGACCGGCGATCTGTGTTAAAGAAGAATTTTTATGTGAAGTAAGTCAGATATATTTAATTATATTGAGTCACATTCCACGATGACTGTTTCATTACTTGAGGATGCTGATGAGAGGGAATATGTTCGGTCCTCGAAAGAGCTGAGAATTGCAGCTGATATCCTTTGATCGATCTGCTGCTTTCAATCCTTCCAAGATATCCGAAGCTTCACAACGAAGCAATTCGGCGAGAAGGACGCAGAGAAAAACGCATTGAAATTCAGGGATCATGGGCATGATATATACTGTGATGGAGTTCATAGAAGAAAGGAAGCCCGTAGCTATTTCGAAGAAAGTGCGTTTTTCCATTTGGAGAAAGAAGAATAAATTACTCATAAAGAACGCCGAGACAATTATGACTGCAGTAACGGACAAGATGATGACATTTCGGCAACGCCTGTATGCCCGTCCATCAGTCTCACGTGTCTCCAGATAAACGTGAAGTGTGTTAAGGAATTTGGGAAACTTCCGTGCATTCCAGATCGAGGAGAAATAAATGCAGATCATCCATACATTGCCGGTCCAGAGACTGATATAGCTGGCCAGTTGGTCTGCGAGAGGGATCTGTGGTGACATCATGTCGTGGTCGGTGTCGTTCTTGTTTTTATCCCCAACGTCGGACATGGTAAAACTCAAGTAATAGAAGGTCAAGATCACTGGCGTGAAGAAAACGCCATAGAGAAACGCCCACGAACACCATCGGAAATCCGAATTCGGATTTCGACCGATATCTCTCACATTTTGGATGGGGAACACTCCAACAAGTTTCCCCAAACATCCCAACGGGAGAAAAAGCCTGAGAAGGCCACTGCTTCCACCTCGAAGACCCTTCATGTCGTATCTCACTGATGAATAATATGAAAGACACCTGGGAGTCACAGAGATCCGTTTGAATTGAGACTAGAAGAAAGACTGCCGCTCACGCCCTATCTGTCGTTTCGAGTATGTGTGGAAACATCATTGCGTTGCATTAAGGACCTCATCCGCTTGAGATAGTGGTGTTTAAAAAGTGAAATATATATTCGAAAATCGAACGGGGGGGTTCTCTTCTCAACTTCCCTTACCTGACACTGATCCGGTGTGTTTCATCTCGATCTCATCATCGTCCATCTTAACATATTATTCCCTTTTCTATTATGCTCGTCTTGTAGTTTCTTCAGAGTTGGACGAAGCCGCGTGAGCGATGGTGGCATAGGAACTAAGAAATAACTGAAATTTCAATGTGCTGAATTCTCAGGAGAAAAAAGCTCCAGAAAGACAGCCCGAACTGAAATCGGCGTTCATTATCCAAACCTTGAGTTTACGTGACTTGTGAAAATGGTGTGGCAAAAGCATCAAGGATGCTTGCATTATCGAAGGAAAGAATATGGTCTGTACACGATGGATACAGATCTTTATTATTCATTTTCTTTTATTTTAAACTATGGTGGCAATGTGAACTTACATTAATAAAGAATAATCTAATTTTAAGGCACAATCACTCAATAATGGGAAATTTTTACATGTAGCTCACCAATGAACATCCATTTGCTTATTTCATGCTTTTAGGGAGGAAAGAGGCTTGAAAATCATGATATAGGGCAAAAACTTTTATTGAAAATTTTGAGATTTTCTACTATGCTTGAAATTTAGGGCCAAAGCAAATATGTTGATACTACTGGTCCTATGCCCAAGTTTTTGCATTGCATTGCATGCAAGCAGCATGTTCACGTAAACAAGATATCAATTTTTTGCAAACAATGTAAATTTCTTGCGATTGCCATGAAAATGACATCACGTTTACGTAAAATTTACGTTCCTATATTTACGTCACCAAAGTGTACCTGTATTTTACATCAACTAGACGTCACTCCATCTGACGTGAAATACATGATATCACGTTTATGAAAAATTAACACCACACCATCCATATGAAACTTTAGCTGACCATCCTGCAGTTGCAGTACCAAGATTCCTCACTAGGTGGAACCCTCGTTCCCTGCATCCTACAATTACTATTAAGTACTGGTTTTCCTGATATAGTATCAGGTTTTCTTACCATCCTTCTACTTTTTATTATGCAATCCATGAATATATATATCGAAAACATGAAATTATTATATATATATTTATAATATATGACTCAGGGAATCATTAAATGCTGAAGTTAAGCTTTTATTACAGCAGTGCACGGGATTAGGGAAGAGTAGAATCCCATCCCCACAAGTACTATATCTTCTCTATTCTAAAAGGAAGAGAGCTCCTTTGAACATCTACTTCTTCTCCCGAGGTTCTGGTACGGGAGGAGGAAGCAGTAGGTCACTTTGATACTCTTGAGTGCTGATGAGGATGAGTACTCCTGTACTCGTCCAACCACCCTAGAGTTCTGAAGAACGTAAAGGAATAGGAGATTCAGAATATCAATTCTTTTCAATGGTACTGGTTAACTCTTTAAATACGCATGAATGCCAGAGGAAAATTAGCAAAAATCTTACGTAAAATGAATGTAAACATGCTGTTTGGAATGCAAACGGGAATGTCAATTTTACGTAAAATATACGTTAATTTTATATCACCGTTTACATATCACAGAGGTGACATTTCTGCAAACATATTGACATTTTCTTGATAATGGTTTGCGTAAAAATGATATAAAATGGACAAAAAAATTGCATTCATTTTACGTAAAATTAACATAAACATGCTGTTTGGGCATGTATATATCATGGGATGTGTGCGCTACAATTTCGTAAAATAATATTAAATCATCTTTATTTATATAAATGTCGGGAAAATGATTTTCCCGATCTCTAGTCCGTTATCCGGGGCTGCGAAATCTGGAACATGCTCTTGCGCATGCGCGAGCTGTGACTCCATTGGATTGGTATAAGCGTCATTAAACTGAATGAATGTCTTTATCATCATGGGATGGCGAAGTCTGAATAGATTTTCGAAATTACCCCCCCCCCCCCCCATCTCTGTCTCGCATTCCAGTGTTCGTGTGATGAAGACATCAGGAGTTCCGAGTGAATTTACTTCTGAAATAGTCGTGCAGGAAATAGATTTTCGAAATTCCCCCCCCCCCCCCCCATCTCTGTCTCGCATTCCAGTGTTCGTGTGATGAAGACATCAGGAGTTCCGAGTGAATTTACTTCTGAAATAGTCGTGCAGGAATTAGCCAAGACAGTAAATTATTTCATGGAGTCATGTTTTTGTTGTGTTGTTTTCGTCGCCTGAGGCCAGACCCTCCAAGCGAAACTGCAGCAGCACCACCAAGTAAGTCACGATCGTACCCATCACCTGAAAAGAACGGCAACTTATCAAGGTTGATATATCGTATCGTAATTCAAGTAAGTAACGGAATCGGAGATGCCGACTGCTTACCGAGACTGCGAGACTCTTATTCACGTCGAAGAAATCAGTCGCTGTTAGCCGAATCGGTTTGGATTGGATCTGTAGGTATAAAAGCTTCGCCTGGTAGGAGATAATGAACACTTACACTTTCCTTGCCCTGTATTTTCTTCTTCATTATAATGAGGGATAGATTTGCTCACCTTCTGTGCAACTTGAGAAGATGAGGTGAACCCCGTCACTTCGTTCAAGCGTTTTATGAACTCTCCTTCCTGCAAGTATCAGTAGTAGATACTTCTCATTTCATATGCAAGTAGCAGGACGGAATAGCTAAGCCGTGACAATAAAAATAAAAACTGCCTGTGCCATCAGATCGGATCGTCATCGTATTTCTTATCGTGTGAGAACCAAATTGGAAGCGAATGGGCTTACAACTTCTGGACAATATCGACCAGAGAGACATGCGGAGAGGTGCTCTTCATCAACCTCCGGTGGCCTCACGTGTAGTTTTTTGGATGTCGATGTTGTCTTGGCACTGGCCAGTGCAGTTATCGCGCGCTGTTTCTCTCTCATTCCACATCGCTTTGTAAAAGTTATTACTTGGGCTGGAAACGGCCAATTTTATTTAACTTCCCAAGTAACACAGCATGTTGATGAAACGTTTTCGAAATGTTGCCTATGTTGCTCTATGTTGCAAGTTGCTGTACAACATTGAGAAAACATTGCTTCAATGTTTTCACTTGGAATGTTGCTGCGACACTTCTATGAATGTCATTGCAACATTAGCTATCAACATTGAGAGAATGTTGACACTCTTGACATCGACAACGTAGCGACAACATTCTGATACAACATGGACTT